TCTGCTCCCAATACAATAAAGGTTAGAATCAATGATTATCAATAGTAGAGAATCAAAAGAATCTCTACTCATTACACAAATCCCTGGAGACTGACTACCACATTACTGAATCATAAGTGGGCAAAATAAGATATCAAGAAACATCATGGAATTAAGTGAAAATCAAAACACAACACAACAATACTCCTGGGACACTTTAAAAGCTGTCCTAGGAGGGAAATGTATAGCTCTAAGTGCCTACATTAAAAAGATCTAAAAATACGTGAGAGAAGTTGGGGGAGAGGAAAGAATATGTAGAGTCAGAGAAAAAGGAGAGAAAGAAACAAAATAGAAATAATTTTAAAAAGGGAAAAAAATCAGAGAGCATGAATAAATGACTTAATGATACAACTCAAGAATTTGGAAAAAAAACACACAAACAAACCAAACCTAAACCGAGCAGATAGGAAGACATAACAGAAATAAGAGCAGAACTCAGTGAAAACTAACAAAGAAAACAACACAAAGACTCAACAGATCTAAGAGCTGGTGCAACAAAAGGTAAACATTGACAGAGCTTGGCCCAGTTAACCATAAGAAAGATACAATCTAAATTAACAGAGTCAGCAATGAACAGGGAAACACTATGATAGACACCAAAGAAATTTTAAATATTAGGAGACCTTGACAAATCTACACTTCATGAAGTTAAAAACAGCAATAAAATGCATTGTACTGAGAAATGCCCAGGCTCGGATGGACTCTTAGCAACATTCTGCCAGACTTCAAAGAGATCTATGACCAATACTTCTTAAATTATTAAAAGGACAAGAATCAGAAGAGTTCCCTCTGTAAAACCAGTGTTACTGTTATACCCATACCATGTAAAACACATTAAAAACAAAAAGAAAAAACTATAGTTCAATATTCCTATTGAACATAGATTAAAAAATTCTCATAAAAATACTTTCAAATAGAATTCCAGCTACATAAAAAAAAGATCATCCAACATAATCAATTTTTTTATCCTAGATGTTCAGGGATAGTCAACATACATAAATCATCATATAGATCATATAAATAGACTTAAAGTAAAAACTTACATGATCTTACTTAAAGTAAAAATGTACATGATCTTTTCAATAGATACAGAAAATCCAGCCATGTCTTTATGATTAAATTCAGACAAAACTCAACATGTCTTTATGATATTCCTAAATAGAGAGGGGACATACCTCAACACAATAAATGACATGCATGATGAACTCACATCCAACATTAAGAAGGATGACACTAATAGACTTACTAATGTGGAATGGGGAAAGTACATAAGACCTCAACCCTACATAAAGAAATACATGCCAATAAGGAATGCTATGTCCCCCCAGGAAAGAGCACACCAATTGATTATCCAATACCAAATGGTTAGATCTGAAAACACACACACACACACACACACACACACACACACACACACATCATTATATGGACTGAGAAGAATATATACATATATATTTCTTTGTATATATGTAAATATATATTATACATGGAACAACAAAGAAAGAGAAGTCGTAGATTTAAAGAGAGAAGTAGGTATACATGGGAGGAGCTGGAGGAAAGAAAGGTAAGGGTTATAATATAATGTAATAATAATTGTATTATGATCTCAAAAATTATATATATATATATATATATATATATATATATATATATATATATACTTATATGTATATATAAGTCCACATACAGTACCCTAAAAGACATAGGTGTAGGAAAGAACTTTCTGAGTAGAATTCCATTTACTCAGGAATTAAGACCAGTAATTGACAAGCTAGTGTCCTTTGGATATGGCCGGCAAGCTGCTACCGTGGATCTCGATAACATGGTTGCTTAAACAAGATCTTTACAATGACAACAGCTCTTGGCATGCCAGTGTGGATCGGGGACGATCATAAAGACCCCCTCCTCCAAGATGAAGAGTTACAGGAAATCGATGTTTACCGTGAGGGGAAGATTTTGTTTTTTTCAGGGATGAGCTCCCTGATAAGTTATCCAGTCACAATTGTTCAGTCTTAAACATGTACATATGAGCAATGGTAAAAAGATATACATGTGTGTGTGCCCACATATATGTAAAAATTAAAAAAGAAAAGTAAAATCATAAAACATGTATTGTTATATGTAATAATAATGAAAAAGAGGTCATTAATTTGAAAAAGTGTTAGGGAGGCATAAGAGGATTTAGAGAGAAGAGAAAGAGTATAAGTGAAGTATATACAGTAAGTAGGTAGCCCAACATTTCTCCACTTCTGCCTTGCCTGGCAGTCAGGACAAATCTCTCCCACAGACGGTCACATACCTGTTTATAAAATAGTCACTCAGAGACTTATATAATTATAAACTGTATGGCCTATGGCTTTAGCTTCTTGCTAGCTAGCTCTTTCATCTTAAATTAAACCATTCCTATTAATCTATATGTTGCCACATGGCGTGGCATTACCAGTCTGCTGGCATCTTGTTGCTCCTTTGGTGGTGGGCTGGCGAATCCTTGACTCCACCCTTCTTCTCTCTCTATCTCTTTTGGATTTTCCCACGTGGTTCCATCCTGCTCTGCCATAGGCCAATAATGTAGCACGAATCTTAAATGGTCTTATTAATAAGAACAAACCTGGTGCCAGTTAATCGGATGAATGCTGGAAGATCAGAGAAGCATAACAAGCCACAGCCACCTCACCTTGCCAATTCCTCAGCTGATCCTGTTTCCTCAGACTGGAAGCCTATGAGTCCTCATCCAAATGGATCTCAGCTGAACTGCTGCTCAAAAGCCTAAAAGCTTAACCAGGCTCTAGTTCCTGGTTTTCTCACCTTATATACCTTTCTGCTTTCTGGGATCACTTCCTGGGATTAAAGGCATGAGTCACCATGCCTGGCTGTTTACAGTGTGGCTTTGAACTCACAGAGATCCAGATGACTCTCTGCCTCTGGAATGCTAGGATTAAAGGCGTGTGCTACCACTGCCTATCCTCTATGTTTGCTATTATGACTGTTCTGTTCTCTGACCCCAGATAAGTTTATTGGGGTGCACAATATAGCAACCACACAACGAAGCTTTATTCATTATCCAATGAGAGCCACACATATTCACAGCATACAGAAAGATATCCCACAGCAACAGTATTGTATGATACTTTCAAAAAACTCAAGAAGTTAAACTTTAAAAATAGGTAAATAATGCTAGATATGATAAAAAGTGATAAAATGTATGAAAAGTAGAATGAACCAACTTTGTTCTTGTAGTCATCTCCATGTAATAAACTAGATTTCTGAGTTTTGGTAATATCTATCATTTCACATTAATGGCTCGATTTGCACTTTCTTGATGATTAGTGATATTAAAGGCATACATCTTGGCAATTCATATGAATTGTTTGTAAAATACTCAAGTACTTTGACCCATCTTTGGAGACTCATCTCTCACACATGCATGCAATATTTATGTACTTATACACATGTGATATTAAGTGTTTTGAATGGTCTGTTTTGGATATCAACTCTGTATCAAACAGATGACCTGCAAATGTTTCTTTCAGTCCAAGGTTGTCATTTTCTGGAGTGTTTCTTTTGTTGTGTACAACTTTTTTTGCTGGTTGGAATCACAGTTGTCTGTTTGTACTTTCCCTGACAGTTAAACAGTATTTTTAAGGGGGCAGAAATGTAAGTTCTTTTGATTACTGATAAATTACCTTAATAAATATAATTATTTACGACTCAACCATTTTTTTTTTCTCTTTTTGATTTCTTGAGACAGAGTTTCTCTAGTAACAGCCCTGGCTTGTGCATAGGTCAGGACTTTATAAATGTTGTGTGCCAGGCTACCAGAGTCAATAGGATTTTATTCTCAGCACAGTGTCACAGCTTATTCAAGGAAGCCATGGCAAGCTAGTACAGCTTGTTCTTTCTCAAATACCTCTGAAATGCAGTTGAAACAAATATTAGGAGTCTGGGTACACTTTATGTTAGTGTTCCAGCTCTGCCTTCCTCACCTGCTAGAAAGGGTGGCATGTATTGTATTAAGAGGATGCATGTGACATGTACATGAAACATTTTTAGGAAATATAATTCACACTTTCTGTATATATGTGTACAATTGATTGTGGGACTTATTGTGCAAATTTTGCTTCTTACAAAGTATCCAAAGTACAATTTATACTTTAAATCAAATAAACATGGCTTGTAGAACTAGCATAATTATATGAGAATCTGTATAAATTGGAGAATAAACTCAATGAATACTTTTGATCCTTTTTCTCTAAGGACATTTTTTTTTACACTTAATGTCTGTCCTTATGTTTTTACAGAATAAAATTTAAGATTTCTGAAATGGACACTTGGAATTTGGACAAAATGTCAGCAATTTTCCAGAGAAGGACAGCTGGTAGCTGTTATCAGTAACCAATAGGAAACATACAATGTATATGTCACATTCATGGATATAGCTCTCATAGTTGTCAGAGTATTAAAAATGTTAAAATCTACAATTATTTTAGCTCCTGAAAGGGAATTAAGACAGTTTGGGGAATAAAACTGTTTTGTTAAGTGTTTCCTAATATGTCAATTTCTTCATAAGCATACTATGTTTTTTAGTGTACTGTATTATATATAATTTTTATTATGAAGTGTATAAAACACACAAAGAAGGAGATTCATTTGAATAAAGCATACTGTAGGAATATGACACTGGATTGCAATTCTTGAAAATATTTGTATAGGTAGTAAAATTAAGTTGTTTTTCTCAGAACACAAAGCAAAGCAGCAGTGTGTCTCTTCTGCTGAGATGACCATGCTCACAGGGATTTTCTTTGGGATTTGTACAAGTGTTTACCAAGGAGTGAAAAATTATCAGTTACTTCATTAGAAGTTAGGGTTCGATATTTGAAGTGCTCTTTTGAAATTCTCATAGCCACATTGGAAGCATAATTTAATCAGAGATTTTGAAGATATTAAGCATATTCGTTACTTGATTATTTACCCCGAGTAAATACTGACCCATATTTTAATTTCAACAGGGCTTTCTTCACTTCTTTGTTCCTCAGGGTGTACACAACAGGGTTGAGTAAGGGTGTCAAAACAGTGTAGAAAACGGCCACAACTCCATCCACAGCATCCCTGGAGCCTGGCCTCAGGTAGATGAAGATCCCAGGGCCAAAGAAACAGAGGACCACGATGCAGTGCGAGGCACAGGTCTGGAAAGCTCTGTGTCGGCCCTCTGAGGTGCGGATCCTCAGGATGGAGCAGACAATGGACACATAGGACAGAGCAATCAGCAGAAAGCAGCCTGAGGCCACCACACCAATGTTTACAAAGATGACCATCTCATTGGCTGAAGTGTCTGCACAAGCTAGCTTGAGAATGGGAGGAGCATCACAGAAATAATGCTGGATCTGGTTGGGTCCACAGTAGGGCAAATGGAAAGTCAATGACGTCTGGACAGCGGAGTGCAGGGAACCAGTGAGCCAGGTGCCAGCAGCCAGGAGGGCACACACTCTCCCACTCATCATGCTGCTGTACCTGAGGGGGTAACTGATGGCCAGGTAGCGATCATAGGACATGACTGTGTAGAGGAAACACTCGGTGCTACCCAGGAAGTGGAAGGAGTAGAGCTGTGCCACACAGCTGTAGAAGGAGATAGCCCCGCCCCCTGGGGACACCAAGGTCATCAGCATTTTAGGCACTGTGACTGTGGAGAACCACATGTCAATAAAGGAGAGGTTGGTGAGAAAGTAGTACATGGGTGTGTGGAGGTGGGAATCTACCCTGATCACCGTCAGGATAAGGAGGTTGCCCAGCACAGTGAGAATGTAAATCACCAGGAAGAGTGCAAAGAGCGTGGTATCCAGGACTGGTGGGTGGGGAAGGCCTGAGAGGAAGAACGTGGTCACTAGGCTCATGTTTGACATGTCTTCATATGAAATATGGCCATTGAATTTTCACTGACGAAGAACACAAACTATAAATTGTTTTATTATATTTGCTATAGACATTCAGTTCAGATGAATGATTGCTTGCTTATGCCAGCCATATCCCTGTTAGCCATATGAAAAGAATGTAAAATTTACATGAAATGGTTGACTTTTAACAAGAGGATCAAAATCAGTATTCTTGGTTTTGTAAAATTAAAATGATCATGCTCAAGTAATAAGTAGAGCTGATAAACTTCTTCCAGCACCAACCTTCATTCTAATAGCCTTCTCTCCTTTCCTTTAACATGTGTGGGTGCTTGTGCATGTACACACACACACACACACACACACACACACACACACACACACACACACCTCCAATCATTCATTCTCCCCCTTTGATCATTAAATAATTGCATTTGAATGAGAAAATGACAGCAACCTTCCTCCTGGATGCTCTCTGGTAAGATACCAGGAGCAAATGTGCATGCCTGCAATCTTTTTTTTTTTTTTTTGTATTACAGAGAGTCTGCCTTTTTTCCTGTTTCCTGCCTTTCTGGTCATAAGAAGAGCTGAAAACTAGTACAGTAATGGTCAGAGCACATTTCCTCCATCCTTTCTTATTTATCACAGAAATAATCTGGATCTGGTTGGGTCCAGGAATTTAAGCTAGTGTTCAGTCAATGGAAGTGTGATCAAATGATCTCTGTGCATTTTGAAATGTTCATGAAAAATTGTGCTTAAGTTGTCAAGAGAACCAAACACGTCTCATCTTTGACTATCAGGTCTGAATTAAATATAATAACATATTTTGCTATGAAATCTAAACATACCAACTGTATACACAGTCTGAAATTATTTTTGTTTGTAGGATATCTATTATTTCAGAGATAAGACAATTTTTTTCTTCAAAGAGCAGACTGGTGTCTCATAAATGATACAGTTAAACATAAAAGGTAGTGAAAATTCATAGAACCTCAATAGAAATCTGGCCAGAAATCTAGACCTAGCCAATTAAAAAGGAGTGTCACTTGCTCAGTAATTATGAAACTTCTATACTTGTCACCTTTGCCTATCATGGATAGCCTTCCTGTGTGGAAGTCAGCTGGCGCTGTGTTCTTTGTTCAGAGGTATAATGCTATGGTGCACAGGAAAAGTACTTAATTGACTGATGCATTATATAACAGACCTTTATTAAACTATGTAGTGTTAGCTAAGTCACAACTAAGGCATTGTAAACTGACTTTAAGAAGACTGAAGAATCCAAGAGTTTCTGCTTTAAATATATCCAGTGTGACCAGCCAGGAATGAAATGTTGAGTTTAGACAATTTTGGCTGCTTACCAATTGTGGAGTTCTTTTTGGATCACGAGGCAGATATTAAGGTTTATAGAAGCTCCATATCCTTGATGAGAAGTATCAGTTATTCACCTGCATGGTTTAAAAACAAGAAGAAAAACTGTAGAAACAAGATCCTTTTGAAATAGAGTTTAAGATTGGGTTGATATTTCAGAAGATAATATTTTGGCCCTAGATTCTTCATAGGCAAGCATATTCCAACATTATTATAAATGTTGATAATTCTAGCCAAATTCATGTGTGTAAGCTGGTTCTGCTTTGATGAACCATCATTCTTTTGACCTTTTTATTTTGCCAAAATGTAATGAATAACCATCAAAGTCTATCTTCAAGACTTCTGCAGGGAATGATTAATATTCATGCTAGATTTCTTCTGTGATTTAACAAGTGGAAAATAAGGACTTTTATGCCCTAGGGGGCAATTCTCTGTCGCGGCTACAAATCTCTTTGATGAATCTTTAACTTTTCTAGGCTCCAGGAATACTCAGGTGGTGATTCCTAGAGACGCAGCTTACTAATTAAACCACTCCTCTCCAGGGCTTCTGTCCAGAAATCGATGTTACCTCACATTGGCTGGCTCAGAAATTTCTTTGGAACTTCTGTCTTTATTCCTTCTTTACGTTTAAAACATGTTTGCATTTTTTATGTAAAAGTGCTTTTTTTGTTTGTTTGTTTTCACATGAATTAATGAAACTAAAGAAAAAGAAGATGTTTCCTTCTGGAATTAATGCATGTCTTAATTACTAGGGAAAGAGTTCTCATAAAAATAAAAAGCAACCCAAAGCCCACACTATGCTAAAAGCAATGCTGGCACCTATAGATGGGTAATATTCCTCTCTGTGGAAGAGTTTTGAATACTGGAAGCCCCTTAAAGTAACATTCCTGAAAACCTAACAGAACACTCAATTTTTTAACATTGGTGTCTACTTAAATTAAGACATATTTTATCTATGTAAAACCACCACATTTTTTAGAAAGTTTATTTTAAAAATTACTGGCAGTTTAGTTCTGCTTAACATATCTCAATATTACGTTATGAAATGCAAGCAGTTTTGGTATTTTATTCTCATGAGAGATGCACATCCTGTTCAGTATAGGTTTTCTATCAAGAGAATCTCAACGACGGCATTGAATGAGTTTGATCTTTTCAGCAAGAAGAAAAGAATTATCCACTTTTTGGGCTCTCCTTCACAATATGGTGAGAATCTACATGATAAACAAACTAGAGCTCCAGGCATCATCAAGAATTCTGCACTCAGGCAAGTGAGATGGCTCATTAGGCAACATGCTTGCTATACAATCTTGGCAACCTGAGTTGGATCCCTAGGACCTATATGAAGGTGGAGAGAACTGGCCTCCAAAATTGTCCTCTGACCTCTACAAGTCCAGCATGACATGTATACCTTCTCATACACATAATACTTACACAATGATGATGGTGAATATAAATAAAATTAAATTTAAATATAATTCTTCACTTTTAAACTTTATATAAGATAATGCCCCACACGACCCAGACCATTCCCATGTGATGGTGTCATCTTCTGATGCTCTGCAAACGAGTAGGTAAGTACAGGACTCCACGTGCCTGTATTTAGCAACCATTTCATCATTGGGCTTGCTCTGCCAGTGTCCTCCTTGAATGTTTGGTCTTTAAACAACTTTTGTTGTTCAATGTTCTATGCACTTCTATGTTATTTTGGAATCAGCTTTCTAATTTCTACAAACAGGTCTGTTTAGATTTTAGTCAGCATTGCATTGAACATACAGAGTAATTATGGGAGAACAGACATTTTATAAGCATTGTGTCTGAATCATGGACACACATATGTCTTTTATATCTCTCAACAATGCATTGATTTCAGTGCTCAGACCTAGCTCATATTCCCAGATTTATCATTTTTTCCTGTCTTTATATTTTAAGTGATAATTTTAGCATGTAGAAAGGTAATAGATGTTTTATCTCAGTATTGTATCCTGCAGTTCAGCTAAACTCACTGATTTCGGATAATGCATCAGATTGATTTTTATTTAGATGGTCATGCTGTCTGTTTGTTCTCTATGTAGGACCCCTCACACCACAATCCAGAACATTCTTTGAAACAAAAGTGTTCAGCTCCTAAATTTTCCTTCCTCAGAAGTTTCGGTTGTCTGCACTTTTCCCAGACCTGAAAGCACCTGTTTGTATGCATTTGGTCCAGTTTATTATTCACTTGGGCTGGTCGATTAAATATAAACCCTGTTAGTGTGTGGACCAGGATATAAAATCTGCAGTATATCTATTTTTGTCACTTTCTTTATATAATCATATGACAAGCATATGGATAAAATTTTATAAGCATACCTACACAGTTCATATTTATTATGAACTAACAATCATTGGGCGCCTCATCTTCACTTGCCTTTTGTTTCCATTTTGATCTCACTTGTCTTTGTTCATCCATTCTTAGGAGTTTTTTATTGTGATTTACAATTTCTTTTCAAGGCATTGTTATTTTATATAGTTAAAATGTTCATTAGATTTTTGAAATCTAATATGTGTAATTATAAGGCAGCATCAAAACATACACAGTTTCTGTTACTTAACATTATATTTTGAAGCCATTTATACATTGATATGTTATATTAGCTTTCCATTGCTGGGACAAAATAGCAAAGATGATAAACTGTAAAGGAGGGAAGATTTGTTTTTGTTTATTGCTTCAGACATTTTATTCTATGGTCATATGATTTCATTGCTTTGTGACTGTGGCATGGCTGATCTCTGTGGTCAGAAATAGCAGTTGTGACTGCTCGCCTCAAATGGCGAGAAGGCAAAAGAGTGGTTCATGTGCTAATATACCCTTCCTGGTCCCACCCCTGGTGACTGCCTCCTTCAAACTAGGCTCTGCCTTCTAAAATGTTGACCTCTAAATCGTGTCATTGATCGAGGGCCAAATTTTCTACACACGGGACTTGGGGAATTAAATAATGAGAGAATAGAAATGCTTATGCATGATGAGTTGATGGGGAAGGTAATTTCTAATTTTTATAACTGAAAGACTGGATTTGTAAACAAAGAATCTTTCTGATTCCACGTTTTCAATCTTCCCTTTACAAGCCAGTTTTGTGAATACAGATACACACACATACACAGACACACAGACACAGACACAGACAGACACACACACACACCCCACCCTTAATACACACACATACAATTTTATTCCCAGCATGTCTCCCCTCCATTGTGTCCTCAGTGAGGACTTACTGATAGGTCTTGGAACTTTCCATGTATAAGAATTCTCTTGCACAGGGCGGTGGTGGCACACACCTTTAATCCCAGCACTCGGGAGGCAGAGGCAGGCAGATCTCTGTGAGTTCCAGGTCAATCTGGGCTACAGAGTGAGTTCCAGGAAAGGTGCAAAGCTACACAGAGAAACCCTGTCTCAAAAAACAAAACAAAAAAAATTCTCTTGCATATGCTAGGATTCTCCTCTCTTTGATTGTGCAGGTTAAACGACCACAATACAAAGCATGCTTCACAGGACAGAGGAAGCTAAGGGGGAGAGAGTCATATAAGCAGAACAAGGGTTAGCAGAAGCAACCAGACTCCAGACATGTATCAGCTTCAGGAGAACACATTTAATGTGGAAGAAAGATGGG